AGGTACAAAATAAATATGCAAAAGACAGTTACATTCCTATACACCAACAAGCAGGCAGAGACCCAAATAAAAAGCACAATCCCACTCACAATAGCCACAAAAAAAAGAAATATCTCAACATCTTCTTAACCAGAGAAGTGAAAGACCTTTACAATGAGACCTATAAAACACTGTTCAAAGAAATCCAAGAAGACATAAACAAATGGGAAAATAGTCCATGCTCATGGATAGGAAGAATCAACATTGTTAAGATGTCCATCCTATCAAAGACAATCTACAGATTCAACGCAATACCTATTAAGTTACCAAAATCATTCTTCTCAGACCTGAAAATAACAATTCAGAAATTCATATGGAAACATAAATGATCACAAATAGCCAAAACAGTCCTTAGTAAAAGAAACAAAGCATGAGGTATCACATTTCCAGACTTCAAACTTTACTATAAGGCCACAATAATCAAAACAGCCTGGTATTGGTACAAGAACTGGCATATAGATCAATGGAACAGGATAGAGATCCTGGAAGCAAAACCTCAATTTCTCAACCAACTCATCTTTACAAAACCTCCAAGAACAACCACTGGAGAGAGGAGAACCTATTCAGTAAATGGTGCTGGAAAAATTGACTGATCACATGCAGAAGATTGAAACAGGTCCCCTGTGGGGGGCCAGCACCTGCAGAAAGATTTGGGAGGTCCCTGTGAGGTGTGGCAGCGTTGGTGATTATTCTGGAGAAATAAAGAGAAGGGGGAGAAAGAAAGAGACTGGACTCTGTTTAGTGCAGAAGCCGATTTAAGGGGGCAAACCGCAAGCCTTTTATTCTAAAGTTTCATAGGCAAGATCACAAGATTTTTATGTGAACACAAAGCCAGGTGGATGAGGGGGCATCCCCTCATCCACCAGGTGTTTCCTCAAGCATGAGGAAGGACAATCCCAATATTATTTCACTGTTCCTTATGCTTGGCTAATGTTCCTCACAAACAATACAACAATTCTAACATCATAATATTCTAATAATCAATAAC